GCGCGGGCGCAGGCGCGGGCGCTGACGCGGCGGCGGCGGGCGCGCAGGCTGCGGAGTCGTCCGGCAGGGCGTCTTGGGTGGCGCTGCTGACGAAAGACCCGGGGGCCGCCAAGCTGCCCCCAGGCGGCCGGGGATCCCCACAGCCGTCCACACGCGGCGGCGTCGGCGCGTCAGAAGGCACGGGCGCAGGCTCCGCCGGGGACACGTCGGTCGCGCGGGACCAAGGCGGTGATGGGGCCGCCGGCGCCGGCCTGCCGCCTGCGCTCAGCGCGCCGGCGGTGGCCGCGGGCGGCGCGGGCTCCGCCGAGGCTGTGCAAGTCGCGTTCCGCAGCCTGTCCGACCCCGCCACCGCCTTCGGGCCGGCGGCCGCGGAAGCAGGCGAGGGCGCGGGGGCGGGAGCAGGGCCGGGCGACGGCTGGGAGCCGTGCGGCGACGGCGGGGCCAGCAGCGCCGCGCTTGCGCAGTTGATCTTGTCCACGCAGTGGCAGGATGGAGAGGCCCTGTCGCAGGCGGCGGCGGCGCAGCAGGCGGGCGCAGCGCAGCACGAGCAGGCCCTTGCTGAGGTGCGCGCACAGGAGGCGCTGCAGCACGCGCAGCAGGCGTTGCGGCAGGCGCAGGCGCAGCTGGCCCGGGATCACGCGCCGCTGCTCGGCTCGGACGGGACACAGGGCTCTGCCAGCGCCGACGACCTGCGCCACCTCATGCAGCTGCTGCAGCAGCAGCAGCGCGCTACTGCGGAGCGGCAGCAGCAGGAGGCGCTGCAGCAGGCGAAGCTGCAGCGGCTGCTGGGGATGCAGGGGCAGCAGGCGCGGCAGCAGCAGCTGTCCCCACAGCAGCAGCAGCACGCCACACTGATGGGTTTCTCTAGCATGCCAGGCCCAGTGCAGCTGCAACACCTGTCACTGCAGCAGGACCAACCTGACATGCTGACGCAGCAGTGGCAGGCACAGCAGCAGCAGCAGCAGCAGCAGCAGCAGCAGCAGCAGCAGCAGCAGCAGCTCACCGCGCGCGGGCAGCTGCAGCTAGCGCAGGCAGCGCAGGAGCGGCGGCGGCAGGCCAAGCTGCAGCAGCTGCAGCAGGCGGTGCTCCAGCAACAGCAGCAACAGCAGCAACAGCAGCAACAGCAGCAGCACGGGCTGCCCCCGGAGCAGCAGCAGGTGCGGTTCGGAGGCCCCGCTGCCAACGGCGGCGCGCCCGTCATGTCGCAGACGCTCTGGGCAAACCTGACACCCCAGCAGCAGCAGCAGCTCCTAATCCTGCGCCAGCAGCAGCAGCAGCAGCCGCAGCACGCGGCTGCGATACTGCCCTTGTCATCTGGCCTTGTGCTCCCAGCCGGCGCGCATGGCCCCAGCCAGGCGCTGCAGGTGCAGCTTCTTGGCCAGCAGCTGCCGCCGGGCCCCCGCATGCACCTGGTGCAGCCCTCCGCGTCGCCCATTGACTTGGCCGCCGGCATTGCGTCGCCGTCGGCGGCCGCCGGGCTCGCCGGCATGCTCGGCCCGCTGACCAGCCCGGCCGCGGGCCGCGCGGCCCCCTCGCTGCTGGCGGGCGCGTGGTCCGCGCCCGCGCCCGACGGGGCGGCGGCGCTCGCGCCGGGCGCGGCTCACGGGCCGTCCTTCGATTGGGCGGCGCTCGCGGCAGGCCTGGGCGGCGGCCGCGCGTCTGCCGACGGAGGGCTGGCCCCATTCTCGTCGGACCCCACGCCCGCGGCGGGGCTGGGCGGCGGCAGCGGCATCGGGCGCAGCGTTTCGGAGCAGAAGCGGATGGCTGAAGAGTTGGATGAGCTGCTGTGTATGGTGGGTGCAAACCGATGGACGCCATGCGGTGTGGCGGGCGGGAGCCGGCGGCTGGTGCAGTGCTGCACTCACGTGCACGTCGTTGGAGCACAGGACTTGCACGATCAATCGACCCAACGCAACCCCTGGCGGCGTGAGAGCAACTGGCGGCCCGCTCCGTCGGCGCCCGTGGCATCAGGTCACATGGGCCGTGCGTCCCTGCTGCGACTACTCCTGTGCAGTCTGCCCTTTGCACCTGACACCCAGCAACCACCGCTCCACCCCTCCTTGCAGGCCAACGCGCAGCTCGGCTGGTCCGGCATCCCCCAGACCGCCGCAGACCCCGCGCCGCCGCCCGCCGCGGCGCTCGCGTCCCCCGCCGGCGCCGCCGGCGCCGCCGGCGCCGCCGGCGCTGCCGCGACCTCCATGCTGGACCCCAACGCTGCAGTCTTCCAGCTGTCGCCGAAGACCGCCGCGCCGCCGCCGCCCCCGCCGGCCGCGGGCGCGGGTGGCAGGCCGCTGCTGCGTAGCAGCACCAACCTGCTGCGCGGCCTGCAGGATCTCGACCTTCCGGACGGCTTTGTCGGCGGCGACGGGGACGGCCTGTAGGGGCGGCAAGGCCCGTGCTCGGCCGCGCCGCCGCGTGGCGGCGCGGCGCGGCGGCCCCCAGCTGCCGGCCGCCGGGCGTTGTCAGGCCGCCCGCGCGGGCGCGGGGACGGGTGGTTTTTGGGTGTCGGCAGACGGCCGGACGGCCACCAGGGGCTGTTGGGTGGCCGCGCCCCGGAACGCAGCCCTTGTCGAACCGCATGTTATTGGCGAGCCAGGCGAAAACATAGAGAGGCTGGGATTTTTTCCGCGTCCATTTGATCACCAACAGGGTTGCCGACAGCGGCCTGAGGCGTCGCGCCGACCGCCTCGGTTGGCTCCTCCCTGCCGGCGTCGCAGCCCGGGCTGACTTGCACGTCCGGGCGCCGAACAATGGCTCGCTCCCCCCGCCGCTTGCTGCACGGGCCCCCCCCTGCGTCCCTTGCTGGCGGTGCAGCGGCGCGTACTGCCCCTCACCTTTTTGCAGTAGCCGCCCCGGGACCCGCGTGCCAGACGGGTACGCCGGCGGCGCCTGTGGACATTTGTTGGGGGCCCCGGAGAGCCTATGCCGCGGACAGCGTTGCCGCCGCTGCTTCATTGATTGCGTTATGGCGTTGACGCGCGCGGCGCGTGAAGATTCAGTCCGCGCCCCACTTGCGTTGCAGCGAACTGATGCCAACAGACAATTAGGGCCCCGCTTGCCCGCCGCTTGCCAGCATGTGCCGACCCTTGCTACACTTTTGTGCCCTGCTTGTCCTCACATGACTTCAACCACCACAGGCGTATGCAGCAGTGCGCTGCCGCTTAATGAGATGCCAGCAGTGCCAGGCAGCTAGCATGCTCCAACTTATATGCGCGTACACAAACCCCAGGCAGAACGAGCGGCTGTCCATGAGTCCATCACATTCCTGATCTTTGCCGATGCTTTACTTTGCACTGTAAATGCCTCTGATTGTGATGACGCTGCAGGTTTCAGCACTACACACGGCGCGTGGGGCTCAGGGATGTGAGCAAGGTGATGAGGACGAGCAGGGGCGCTGAATGAGCCTAGGTGAGTAAAAGTTGACCGGCGGCGATGCGACGGCCAAGTGCTGCCTTGCGCAAGGGCCTTGGACCTCGGGCCCTCACGTTGATCACAGGAAGCTACAAAACGCATTTACAACGGCACAGGCAGTACCACGCTGCTAGGTCTTGCAGCTGGACCACCGCAGCTTGCGTGCCGAACCCCCCGTGCAGTCAGGGGCTTTTAGTGAGCACTGACGCCATGCATGCCATGAGCTTTAGGTCCTCGGGCCTTGGGCCCGCGGGGCCAACGTTGGGGGCCAGATCAGTCTCTAGAGGTCAGAGACCCCGGTTGATAGGGAAATTCAGCCGTGGTAACATCGGCAGCTTCATTCCCCAGGCGGCGTCAGGC